TTGAGAACAAGTTCTATTTATATATTTATATATTTACCATTACATAATGTAATCGCGATGGACTGACCGATTTGGACCGGTCCTAATTTACGAACCGTGGACTGCTTGGACCAGTTCAAAAGACTGGTTCGGACTGCGGTCTTTGCCGGACTGTAACATCCCTAGGCCAGACACCGCTTTGGAATAAAAAATTCTCGTGCTCGAAGAAGGCATCCGATTTACACCATTACAAATAAAGCTCTTATGTAAAAAAAAAAAAGTGTAATTAAAAAGGGTGTGCTATTCCGTGCATTTGAGATAGCGTCATTTATACGTATTGTGTGCACTTAGATCTAATCATTACATTTTTATTACTGAAAGTTAACAAATAAGTGGCACATTTTGAAATAAAATGAGTTTGAAAAATCTTATTTGTCTTTCAAGATTTTAAATCGGAAAATTTTATAATACTTCGTAAAAAAAAAAATTAAATAAAAAATAAAACTTTCGTTCAGTTTGAAGTTAAGATCAGATTTCCGAATCACTTATTTCAAAATAAATACATCATCAATTTCAATTAAAATTAGATTTCCGCATTTTAACTTTGAAACCCCTATTGTTGGTGAAAGTGGTGTTGAATTGGTGAAATTAATGTCACCAGCATCTCTAATCATAACCCTACATATAGAATTTCGACTATGCAAATGAATCTTTATTTAACAACTTTTTATTCAGATGTATAAATCAAAAATTTCTATTTCTTTAGGATTTTCGAATACCACACCTGTAATCGCTTTGACAATTCACTATATTTACAGTATGTTTACTGTATAATCTTTTTTAACTGAAGGAAAAATACATTACCTGCAATGCGTGAAATAGCAAAATTTCTTTAATAAACCACTTATGAGCATGCACACATACACAAAATAAAATTGTCAGAATGGGAAATTAGAATCGAATCTAAATGCCCTTGAACCTGTCATTCATCAGGTTTTTACATATAAATATGAGCTAATTGGTCGAATCACAATTTAACAAGTTTTAACCACTATATTGGGTCAATATTTAAACGATGGATGTGCACCAATATCAACGTATATAGCTAGGAAAATGATACTCTGAGACTATGTAGCGTGTTAACCAGTTTTTTCAACCAGGAAACACTTAACCACATCAACATATGTTGCATTAACTATCCGATAATCTAATTTCAATAAATTTTTTTATTTCGCCGAGCTCACTATGCCTACGAAATAAAAAAGTTTATTAAAATTGGGTCATGGATGACTAAAGCAATTAAATTTTATTAATCGAATCTAAATAGTCCCTGAGAGTCATTTTCCTAATAAGAAATATTTTTGTCGGATAAAAGTTATTCAACCACCAGGAGGCTAACCCTTACTCAATAAGCCTGCCATCTACTTCACGACTCGCCATTACTGGCTCCCGACAGAACAAAGGTCTGCCACGGACACTTTGAACGCAGCAAGCCCTATAACGATTTTGCGCAATAAAATCTAGCCGACCACTTACTTCATGACTCGCGGTTTTACTACACAAATCCCGATGCACAAAATCCCGACACTACCAATATCCTAACAGTAGTACTGTTAAGATTTGTGCGTCGAGATTATGTGTCGGGATACCTTCTGCGTAATAAAACCTAACGGACCATCGATTTACCATTACTGACTTCTGACAGAATAAGAGTTTGTTGCGGATGCATCTTTTACACGCACAAAATTGTTGCACTCATGAAGGAGTAAATTTACGCAACTTGCTTTATTAATCTTGGGAGTTAGACGGTGAAAAATTTTGATAAACAATTTGATTCCAAACGTGTTTTTATATATGAACTACGTTACACAATCAATAAATTTTTTATTGGTCATCACACGCGTGTGGAAAGTCATCGATTTTAAAGGAGGACTTTGTCTGATTGGCAGGTGTAAATCAATTGCCTGGGTAACTTATTTATACTGCACTTTCTGCACTTTAACGTACTCTTAAGAACGTAACGTTTCACTAACTGCTAATAAAAAAAAAGCCATTCCTAGTTTTAATGTTAATATTCATTGTGCAAAAGAATCACGATTATACTCCTGACCAACTTTACAAATAAGACAAATATATTTACTATAAGCATGAAGAGAATCAAAAACGAAAAAGACAACTATGTTCAGTGTAAGTTTTGACATTAAAAAAGCGATAGATATATATAAATATGGTTGGTTGAGTTAAATAGCGGATAGATAAATACGAGTGCTATTGTTTAATTGATAATATTGATTAATATTGATTAATATTGATTGAAGAGTACGTAACAACGCGCCTTTAATAAAGGTAGATATAACTGATAACTAGAGGAATAGAGTTATTATTTAAATGCATGAATAAAGAGAAAAATTCGATAATACGTAATCTTTGATTAAATCCTGTAATTTGATTGGCCAATTGCATGAGTTTCTTCCTATTATCTTTTACAAATCATATGACAGTAACGCTCAGTATATAAAATAGAAGTGTACGTCATACATATTCGGTTAGAAAAGTCTTAATTTCTACAAAATGTCTCAAGAATCTTCTGATGAAGAATTCGAAAAATTCGAACCTACTTTGCAAAACGTGTTAGACCAAAAGTCTTTACATTGGATTTTTGTCGGAGGAAAAGGAGGCGTTGGTAACTATAATCTATTTGCATTTACTTTACAGGTATATCTATCTCTTATTTGGAAAGAATCGAAGGTAATCGTGTAATCGTGTCAATGAAATGTGTAGGTAAAACGACAACATCATGTTCTCTCGCAGTGCAGCTGAGCAAAGTGAGAGAGTCCGTTTTACTAATATCAACTGACCCTGCACATAATTTGAGCGATGCTTTTGGCCAAAAGTTCAGTAAAGAAGCTACGTTGGTAGATGGGTTTACAAATTTGTATGCGATGGTAATGTATATTTCATTTTGATTAATTTTGATTGACAAATTATTGGTACCAATATTTTATGATGTAATTCACGTTTATTGTTTAAAATGCTTAAAATGTTTAAAATATGATTTTATTTAGGAAATTGACCCGACATCATCGATTCAAGAGATGTTAGATCAATGTATTTATATAAATATATCTTTTTATTTTTATCTTTTTCTTAGAAATATATATATATAGAAAAATATCTTGTTACTTGTACGTTAAGTCAGATTATCATTGCTTTTTTTTATATTAGCTGAGCAACAAGGTGGAGGAGCTATGGGGGCTATGATGCAGGACCTAGCTTTTGCCATTCCCGGTGTTGATGAAGCGATGGGGTTTGCAGAAGTTATGAAGTAAATAAAATAGATCATTTGTTTCAGGTAGGGATTGGACCCGTCAAAAAAAAAAAAAAAAAAACTCTACCCAAGCAAAAAACGGTTGGAGAATGAATTCATTAAAATATTCTACCAGATAGCTCAGATGTATTGGGTTGATATTTATATACATTAATCAACTCAGAGTGCTCTGGTTGTACCTATTCAGTCAAGGTTATCTTTTAATTATAGAACATCTATGGGTCCAATCCTTGATTTCAGGATCGATAAATTAATTTTTTATTTATATTCATTTACTAAATCATCAGGCAAGTAAAAACAATGGAATATTCAGTAATCATCTTTGATACCGCCCCTACTGGTCATACATTGCGGTTTTTGAGCTTTCCCGGTGTGTTGGAAAAGGCATTAGCAAAAATTTCGCAATTGAGTGGACGATTCGGGCCAGTCTTTCAGCAAGTAAGAGTGAACAATATTAAGCTATCTGGATAATGGAGCACAGTTATATAAACATATGCTTTTAGTGAGATTTAAGGAATTTTATTAATTTCTTGCGGACGAAATTACAGATGTCTGGTATGATGGGTCTTAATGCTAATCAAGAAGATATGTTTGGAAAACTTGAAGGAATGCGCGCCATTATTACAGAAGTGAATAATCAATTTAAAGATCCGGTACGTTACTTGTAAAACTATTTTCATTTTCAACTACGTATATTATGAATTCGTTTTTATTAGCAATGAATGAAATTCACTTTTTTATATAATAATAGGATAAGACTACATTTATTTGCGTGTGTATTTCCGAGTTCTTGTCTCTCTATGAGACAGAGCGAATGATTCAAGAATTAACTACTTATCATATCGATACTCACAATATCGTTGTAAATCAATTATTATTTCCACGGAAAGGTAAATTTCACACTTGCAAAACAGTATCAGTATTAATTTTATCAATTTTGTCACTGTTGAAAAAACATGAGAAACTCAATCACTTAAAATCTTTCTTTTTTTCTTTTAATAGATTCTAATTGTGAACAGTGCCTAGTTCGGCACAAAATGCAACAAAAATATTTAGACCAAATTTATAATCTTTATGAAGATTTTCATATTGTTCTAATGCCGCTTTTAACAAAAGAAATACGTGGTACACAAGATATCAAAGAGTTTTCTGAAATGCTAGTCAAACCATTTGCTCCTCCGGATTATTCAATGATGGACGACAGTTAGGACTGAGATCCAAACCTTTTTCTGACATTATCTAGTCGGGAAGCAGGATTCTGCTTTGGGATAATAACCAAAAACCAAATATATGTTCCATTTTTGGTCATTAGTGTCAAACTCAAAAACTAATCAAATTTATTAAATCAATGCTATAAATTATTAAACCTTTGTTATTTTTCATTTTCAAATTAAGTACCTAACGACTAGACAGGACGTGTTGAATAAAAATGATATGTTAGGTCTAATAGTTATATTGAATATGTACGCAATAAGTGAAAAATAATTATGTGTGAAAACTTTTCACAAAACTTCGAATCGTAAATAACAGATTTTCGATAAAGTTTATAGGGATCAAAATTTTTTTAGTATCAGAAACGTACAAAATTTTAAACTAAAGTGATTACTATCGTTATTAACATTCTTGGTGAATTAACAGAAATCTGTGAAAGTAAAGGCTAATTATTTGAGTATAAAATTATTAGTTAATTTATTTACTATCGCTATATATCTTTATCGTTACGTATTACATTAAAAATGTTAAGGGGTTATGTGACGTAACGACACAAAGCCTCTAGCAGGTTCATGCAAGAGCAATCAGTTCCTAATCTATAATGTAACATATGTAGTCAATTCCTTAATATATGTATACTGGAGAATGTATTAGCTTCTTCATATTTGGCTGACTGGCTACCTGATTAGTAGAAATTGAAATACTAAATAAATTTTAATATAATTTCAATACATATATTATTTATTTATATTTTTAAGATTTTTGGTACCTTTTCTAGTGTAAATGGCTTCTTTCACAAATGAATTCTCTTAATAGTTTTCTTTCGGAGAAATGCAAAATAATGACATTATTGGTGTGAATATAATAACGAAGTTAGGAAGAGTGCGTGAATGAAGAGAGCTCAATTGACATGGTTTTCTAGTAATTTACTAGTAATAAATGGTAAAAAAGGTCTGATCCATTCGAAACTTTTCATTTTTTCCTAACTGTTTGGCGTATTCTCATGATGTAATTTAAGTGTTAATGGATTGCTCTTTTTAACATTCAAGGATTATTACAAATTCATTTCCTACAAAAAGAAATTCATCTATATATAAGCCATTTACAAAAAGATACCGTATTATTTTTTTATAGTCTAACAAAAAAAAAAAAAAAATACAATTCAATAAACAAGAATAGATGCAACTGATGTGGTAAAAAATGATAATAGAATAAAAATATATTTAAATATGGTAATAATTTGTAGTATAAAAATTCCCATTATAAGGGGTTTTTTCCTCAAATTAAATTCTTCTCCTCCATTAATACATCCCACTCGCATTGAAGAACTTGATTTTTTTTTTCTTTTTTCTTCTTTTTTTTTTTCTTTTTTTTTTCTTTTTTTTTTTTTTCTAATTTTTTTTTTTAAACACTTCAATCATTCCCAATTTTTATCCTATAATATGGAAATTTTTTTGTTATTTTGTAAATGTGAAATGTGTAACTTATAATTTTTTTTTTCGAGGCATAAAGTTTTAAGGGAATGATCAATCGCATAAATCCACTTTGTTTGCCAAAATATAAAGGGTCGGAAAGAGAAAGAGTATCCACCTGTTAATAACAATTGTATGTACAAACACTCTTCATATATTTACAAAAGTAACAAATTGAATGTACATTCTAAACTTCTAAGTGAAAGGATGGTAAGTTCAAAACTGCACAATGCATTCGATAGATAATCATCTATTATATTAAATGATGGTTGATATACCAAATAGATTGTATGGCTTGAGTGTATGCGTGAAAAAGGTGAGAAAAGCGAATAATGAGAAAGAGTGCGTGTTATCTAAATAAGGTTATTAGAATTAATAAGATAAAGAGAGTGTTTGTCGTACGAGTCAGAAAAGAATGTCTAAATGGTGGAATCCTCGGGTTATGCAATCGTATAAGCACAAAACGGTCGAAAGATGCTCATTGCCAGTGAGTTATTAGCAATCGCTTATTAAAGATAGTGATAAAAAAAAAAAACCGTCAAATGCCCAAAATACGATCGATGATGTGAATTTTTGGGTTAACCTTTTTTTTTTTTTCGTTTTTGCGACATACATCGCGAAAGAAATAAAAAAAAAAAAAAGGATTGAAATATACATATTATGATGAAAGAATTACAAGATCAATTACACACGTGAAAGGAATATAAAATATAAAAAAGGAATAATATGTACATTATTCCCCACGCGCATATTAAATTCATAATCTATTGATGCAAATATTAATGTCCATCCCATCAACAAATTAACAAAGCAAAAAAAAGAAACCATTTTCGAAAATAAGTAACATTATTTGATATTAGAAAAAGAATTTCAACATTGATTATGTACGCCATCGAGAACTTAGGCGTCGCGATGACTTTCCAAGGATAGCAGATGAAGCATTATTCTTTTTTGAACGCCATAATGTTGGTACACCTCCATTACGTCCACGGGAGCTACTACTCTTTTTTATATCAACTTCATCTTGTAGCCATTCATCTGTTGGTCGTGGAGACGCAGATCTCGGCAAACTAGGCAAAGAAGGTGATCTAGTAAGGGAGCTTAGAGGAATAGTCATGGAGCGCCTTACGGAAGGACGCTGAACTTTTTCCTGTGTACTAGATGAGACACTCACTACTGAGTTTCCGTCACATGATTTGTCCGTATTACGACGATGTTTGTATGGTTCAGGACTGGGTGCTGTATCGGGTAACGCACAAAATAATAGACTAACGCGTTCTTGTTCGGTGTTCCAGTGAGGATAACATAAGCGATATTCGAGGGGAATATGCTGTTCGTTTTTGTCAATAATTTTACCACGTTTTGTATAGCTTTCAAAATAAGGACCACCACAAAAACTACACTTTTTGGCACTAGCAAGATAATCTTTGATATGATCAGTTGTATCTTCTAATATTGGAACTTGAAGTCTAACAATAGTACGTGCAGCAAGTTCCATTAGCGTCGGTGGAGAATGCGTAAGCTGATGTACAAATTCTGATTTTAGAGGACATCCATCAGTTCGCAATTTCCGAAGTTGTTGAAGCCGTCCAACTTCAGCAGGTAAAACAGTTAGTGGGTTTTCTCGAACATCCAAATGGACCAAAGTTTTTATTTGACCAATCTCTGGTGGTAATTCTGTAATTTTATTATCATCAAGTAAAAGAGTACCAAGTTTCTTGAGAGAACCAATGGAAGACGGTATCCACGTTAATTGATTATTTGACAACTTTAATTCCTGCAATTTGTACAAAAATCCAATTGTATCCGGAATAAATTCCAATCGATTTTTAGAAACATCAAGTGTTGTCAAATTTTTCATGTATCCAATTTCTGCTGGTATTTCAGTCAATTCGTTACAACATCTATAAAATCAAAATTTATCACACTTTAATCTTATCATATTTTATTATAATATGTTTATTAATTATTTTTTAATACTTACATTTGTAAGCATGTTGTCACATATAAGAAACAAATATTGGGACTTAATTTAACAAGACCGCGCCGACAAAGTCCAATATTTTTAAAATTTTGTAATTCACTGAATACTATTGGACACAAATTAGCATTTATATTAAGCTCATCCGGTATCATTCCTTGACAACAAGAATTATCATCTTCCGGTTTATCTACGTCCATCATAACTTCGGGTGAAATAGTATCGGTCGTTGCAGTAAAAATCGACGCGGTTTCACCAGTTGGTGTTATTGAAGTAGGACGATTAGACATGGTTTGAGAGGTATTATTAAAGTCACCAATGTCATTAAAGAGCGTTTCAGGGTTATCCGAAGACGGATGTATATTAGACCGTAACGTTGATGGATTTAATCCCGTTATGCATTGTCGCTGATGTATTGACTTTGGAACATATCCAAAAGGCAAACGAGCTTGTTCTTTTGTGAGTTGGCCACCCATTTCTTTTACGTCGTTGAGATGCTTCTTAATAAGATAATATATGTAATTTTTTGCACTAATTGAAATTTTGCCTTTTTCGTTGAATGGAAATCGAGATGGCGAAAAGATGTAATAATAATTTTGAATATAAGCTATTAAGTATTTTTTTTTGTCAAAGTTAATGCACCTCACAATTTAAAAGCTATAGAACTTCACTTTTCTTATAGCTTGATAAATTTAAAAGAAATGGTGACAGGTAAAATGCGCTAATGAACAGATGTGGCTGGTACTAAAAAAAAGAAAAAAAAACAAGTTTTAAGTAACAGCCCTTCGGTGTTTATTCCTCAATTAAGCTGTTGAACAAAGTAGTTATTGTCGACAAAGGAAGACCCCGGTTTCAATAAAAATATATTATATGCCAATAGGAGCGAAGGCAAGCATTATTGTTTCAAAGACGAACCAAAATTAGATAACCTTTAAACGGTTTTAAAAGCGATAAAGGAAAGAGAGATTTTGATGTGTAAAGTCAAAATAATAAAGGTATCGTTTGCTTTTCGATGTTCAACAACAAAAGCGCGAATTAGAAAAAAAAATTAGAAGGAATAAACTCACTAAAAAAAAAAAAAAATGAAAAATAAAAAATAAATGAACAAAAAAATGTGGAAAAAGGGATGCTAATTTCAAAACGGGGTTTTCGTCTCGCAATAACTAAGGTTGGTAATATAATCCAGTCATACATGGAATTTATGTAAACAGTTGCACACATACTTACTTAATACATTTACTATATATGTTGTCAAGTTCGCATAAACAAATTTGCATTGTATTGAAAATATTGAAAATGTTGTGGCACTATAAATTTTTTTAGGTCGAACGAACGTTAGAAGAAATACGAAACATAATGTTACACCCTTTGAACAAATGATGGCTAAAGACACTTTTTTTACATGCGACTTGCCAATTAGGGTATCGGACGGGGTATTGTACAACTTGCTCCAACCTATAAATAACATTCGATTATGTAGTTATGAATTTATAAAAAATTAATACATGCATATATATTTAGTGATTGGATTATAGTTATAACGATATTTTTGTAATATCAAGTGTCAAATGCACTTTTATGTTAATGATTTGTCTTGTTTTTATTAATCTTCATGGCTGACAAAAACATTTCTTCCAATCCTGCCTCTTTCATTCTTTAAATAGCGTAAACATATGTTAATAATTAATGATAAATTATAAAATTTCTAAATACACTTGTTTTATAGAAATTATACGCACTTTGAAGAAATTTCAGACATATTCTCAAATTCAGAAACCCCAGGGTTAATACGTCCCAGCCTTATTTTTACAAATTCACCATGATTGTGTAATGGTGAATTATATATTACTTCAGACTCTTCTGAGCGGATGGTAATCGCTTGCCATTTTAAACTCTTGAAAAAGATTAATTGTTAATTTAAAAAGTCTTCTAAATTTTTTATCTAAATAAATACGTATATACCTTTAATCTAGAGATGTAACCTTGAACATTATCATATAATCCTTCCACAATAATTATTCCAGGGTATCCAGGTTTTGAAAATCCTTATAAAGCAATAAGATAAACTCTAGGTATAAGAAGATCATTAAAAATCTAAATTACATACCCCATATTCCTAATTCATTAGCCCATCGACATACACACTTCCTTTTTTCAAGAGACAATAAATGATGTGTCCATATCAAAATTCGACAAATTTTAAACGAATAGTCACTTTTTTTATTAAATTGAGAAAGTTCAGATGTTTCATTAATAACCGGTTGCTGCAAGAATGATTTTACATGCTGATAAATGTCAAAAATGCAACATTCTTTAAACGAAGTGAAATGAAATAAAAGGGCCAGCAGTTTTAGGTATTTTTATCACGTGGTGATACAATGCATCCTAAACAGACCGAAAGTCGATACCAACCATTATCACATATTTCATTCAGTTTCTTTTCAATTTCCTGATTTATCTCAGTCCACATTTGTTTAGTAGCAGTGTCAGATGAAAAATAACATTCTGGTCTAGCTTCTGGATATCGGCAGGGTAGAAACACGTTGAACCAATTTTCACCCATATCCAGCAAAATTTGAAATCGAAAGGGAGAAACTTCTAAGCCAGAAACATCATGAGTTAACATAAACTTGTCCAGTGCTGACTAGAAGATAAATAAATAGCGTTAGGCAATCTCTTTTTGATGCATTAAATTTGATGTTATATAATATCATTAACCTTCCAATGTTCCAATTGATTTGGATCACCAACCCACTTAAATTCGTTATCGTTAAACATGGAGATTAATAAAGATAATTCTTCGTATTGCAATCGTTTATTATTTTCAGTCATGTCTTGTTTTGATTACAAATAATATAAAGAAAGTTCCCGCGAAAAGTTAAAATCCATTTATATAGCTTTTTGTATGTTTATGATCTGCAGTCAGTTTTATCATTTGACTAAGACATGCAAGGTGAATCCAGCACAGAGACCCGGACATCTATTTATAGGAATTTCTAAATCCTAGCTAAATTCGATTGTGTACAGTACGACATTGATAATAAAATCTTAAATTCCACGATAGGGAAAAAAAAATTTAAATTTGATTGGTTAAAAAATCAAATACCTAATAGTATTTCAGATTACGTTCCAAATTTTCTTTATCATTATCCTTTTCCAACAATAGGTGGCAATAAAGACTTTTCAAAATGCGAGAAAGTTAAAAAATATTTTACATACAAAAAAAAAAAAAATTAATAAAAGTGGTTTCTCTAATTAATATGCGGTTCTAACTCCTAGCATCAAAGTTTCAAATTCTAACAATAAAATTGTTAAACGTATACGTAATAAGCATTTTAGTCAAAAAAATAGA